GGCTGGCTGGCATGTGGTGCTGGGGGATTGAACAGCGGTCCCTGTGCTTTGCTAAGCTTGTTCTAAGTAGGTGCTTTAGACCACTGAGCCATCTCACCAGCCCCAGTATATTCTTTCTATACTTAATTTGTTGACAGTTTTTACCATGGAAGTATGTTTGAATTTTATCAGTCTTTTATGCCTCTATTGAAATGATCATATAATCATTTTATTAGCATATGTTGGGCTTAGAAATAAACCCACACATCTAAGTGTGATTTTTTAATGAAGATTCTAAGAACACACATTAGAGAACAGACAACCTTTTCAAACCATTGTACTGGGAAAATTGGACATTTACATAAAGAAGAATGAAATTAGATTCTGGTCTCTCACCAGCTACAAAAATGAACTCAAAATGCATTAAACACTGAAATGCAAGACCTGAAACTATGAAACTACAAGAAAACAGGGAAAATATTCCAAAGTGTTAAAATGGGAAATTTTTTTGTTTTTCCACTCAAGACCTCAAAAGTATAAGCAACAAAAGCTCAAATAGACAAATGGAATTACAACAACTAAAAGCTTCTGCTCAGCAAAGGAAACTGGGGAAGAGACAACTTACAGGAAGGGAGAAAACACTTGCCAGCCATACATCGGATAGAGGTTAATCTCCAGAATGTACAAGGAACCCAAATAACTCTACAGCAAAAGAAGAAATAACCAATATAAAAATAAGCAACAGATCTAGATAGATACACAAATGGCCAAAGGGAATATTGTTAAATGTTCAATATTGCTAATTATCAGAGAAATGTAAATCAAAGTCAGAGTGGGATAGCGCATTACTCAGGTAAGAACAGTTTTTATCAAAAAGCTAAAGACAAGTACTAGAGAGGAATGGAAAAAGGAGAATTCTTGCACATTTTTAGTGAGACTCTAAATTGGCACAGTCATTAGGAAAAACAATGTGCAGCTTCCTCAAACAATTAAAAACACTACTACAATATGATCCAGAAATCCCACTACTGGCTATAAGGCCAAAGCAAACAAGATCAGAGTGTCTGAGTGACACCTCCACTCCCACGCTTACTGCAGGTTTATTCACGATACTCAAAGCATGGAAACTCAGCAACCATTGACTGGCCAATGGGTTAAGACAATGTGGCAAATGCACACCAGGGAACTCAGCCATAAGAAAGCATAAAACCCAGTCATTTCTGTCAACATGGATGGAACCTCAACTCATTATGTTACTGTGAAAAAAGCCTGGATCGGACTGCATGATCTCACACATATACTGAACATCATAAAGTTGATCTTATTTTATAAGCAGAAATAGAATGGTGACGGGCCAAGGCTGGGCATCATGAGGAAAGAAAGGATAGGGACAGGTTTGATGAGTGGACCCTTAGTTATCAGTAGACAGAAGCTAGCTCTGGCATGCCATGGCACAGTGAGCTGACTAGATGTAATGGCAATGGATTGTGCATTTCAAAAAACTACAAGAAAGGAGCTTGGAAGTTGGCACCGAACAGAAACGACAAATGCTTGAGGAGATAGATATGACTAACCTGACTTGAACGTTACATAATGTGTCTGTATATTGGAGTATCACCTATTACCCATAAATACGCACAATTTTTGTTTTTAAATATGTTTTAAAAGCACAGTTAAGCTTTAAAACTAAGCTAGTGATAAAAGATATATTAATTTTAATATTTTTATTATTTTGGGTTATCCCTATTAGATTGCTATATTGTCATCAAAATAAATAAAGACAGGTTCATAATTATTATTTTGCCTCATTTAGTTTTGGGGACAAAGTCTTGGTAAGTTTCCCAAGCTGACTTAAAACTTGAGTGCCTCATGCCTCAGCTTGACAAATTACTGGGATTACAGGATGTGCTGCCATACCCAAATTCAAATTTGCCTTTAATGTGTTATGACAGGACATGACCAAGATGTAACATAAGGGTCTCACACATTAGTAAATATCTACATGTCAATGTCCTCATCTAAAAAAATGAATACCTTGACACCAAGTGCCTCTGAGCTTATAAGGAAAGAACTTCAACAAACTTGTGTAAATTTCAGTATCCTTAAACAATAAACATCAAGCCATCATGAAATGATGTCTACCACATGACACCAAAAAGATGTTTTATAAAAAGCCTAAGTGTCCAGGCCACTTTTTTATTCTTCACAAAGGAATTAGATAATTATACCTACTAGAAGGAACAAAATTGTCATTCTCTTTCTTCCAACTGAAAAAGAAAAAATGGAGTTCTTAAGATAGGAATCATTTTTAAGACAGAAAAGATACAATAGCTAACACCTGTGTAGTGCTTTAAATTTGTCAAGTATTTACATATGTTCTGACTTGTGATCTTCATAACAAGCTAGTTAGCAGAAAGTATCTTTCATTGGAGAACAGTGAAGCTCAGAGTGACTTTAATGGGCTCGCTCAGCAGGTCTGAGATAGTAACAGTATTTGAACTTGGATTTCATTTGTGAATTGTTTCCCTTTCCATTAACTAAGCAAGAAGGTCAAACTCATGAGGAACAATGTATACCTTTGAAGTAAGATAGTCTGAATAATTTTCTGGGTTGGAGAACACTCAGAACAAGTTGATTAAAGCCCTGGGCTTTAAATCTGATTTTTTAAAAGTTTCAGT